ACAATAAAAACAGAGTTCACGTCCCTTCCACCTCATTGGTTGGATTTAAAAACTAGAATTACCTTTTTTTTTAAAAAAAAAAAAAAAAAAAAAAAACACCTTTTTTTTTAAAAAAAAAAAAAAAAAAAAAAAAACACGTGAGTTTTTTTCTAAAATAGTTATTTAATATTTGATGGGTTAAGAAAATGAACCACATAAAAATTATTGAATACGCATTTGAGGTTTTTAAATAAATGATATCTGTGGATGAGTCCTTCACTTCCTGTGTTTGGTTCAAAGTTCAACCAAAAATTATGCGCCTACGCTTTATTCGCGAGGTCTCTCCATTGAGTTACAAACGACCAGCGAAAAATACAATGAGAACTCCCCCTCGTCTACACGGTACAATTAATTATGTTGGCCTTCGAGCACAGTTGAGTCCAGTGTTCTTTTAAAATCGTGAACCGCCCAACAAACAGATTTTACAACAACAACAAAAAAAAAAACAACCTCTGTACGTCAGTAGACACTCGACTAGCTGTGCCCTTTACGTGGTACTGGCATTAGACAGAACCCCTTACCGAGCTAATTCAATAGTGTACCATCAGGTCTCAAGCTCTCCCCACCGCCCACAGATTCCTACAGTTTATCCTGTCTCTTCGGCAGATCCTGTTAGAGCGGCGAACAACGAAAGAGCAAGGCTGCAAGAGAACCTGTTTGTCAGACACGGTGTGGGGGTGTGTGTGTGGGGTGGGGGGGGACACAGCGACTTAGTGGAAGGCCATTTGAAAGATTATCCGGCCATTAGAGGCACTAATCTAATAGAACATGACGGCACACAGGCCAGACCGTCCCCACGGGCCTCATAGTGGAGAAAATAGATCCATCTTGTCACTCTTCCCCCCCTGGGATATTCGACTTCTTATTTTTTTATTTTTTTTTATATATTGCCAGATCCTGCTCTATTTATTTGTATATTAAAACTATGGCTAATAAATTTTACACGAAATAGTATTGCGCTTATGTCCCCGTGCCTTTTCTTTCTTGAGCATGTCTCCCTCAACAAATCATGTTTTTGTTTTGTTTTTTTTTAAGCAGACTATTGCAGTAATGCGTATGTTTGTACTTAAAGGTTTCAGCACTACATGTGTTTATACTGAAAGTCTCATTTTTTAAAGAATGGGTTGTACTTGTACTATTTATCTCGGCAGAGGCGTAGCGAGGGTGTTTGGCGCCCGGGGACAAGATCCATTTTAAAGCGCCCCTTTTTCTTTTTTTCAACTCTCAAACCGCTTATTTTCATCAATAAAATAATATCAAAGCACATTTTGGAGCCCCTAACTAGCTGGCGCCCGGGGACATCTGTCCCCCCCTGCCCCCCTTGCTACGCCTCTGTATCTAGGTAGTGCATAACATGAACCGACTGTCACGATATTTCATATCTTCGGTCAATGGTATTATTGGTATATATAATACACGACTTGTTCTGACGGAATCGGTTTTAACAAATAATATGCATTTCAAGAATGTGTCAATTAAAACTGAGTTAAATTACACACCCCATAAAAACAAAATTTTTCATATAAATCATTTATATGCATTTTTATTTATTAAAATTTTATAATAATATTCTAATGTCCCACCCACTTTTACACCGGGAGATTTATTTCACCCACTATTTTAGAAAAAACAAAAGAAGTTATTACTATTACGCACCAAACGCACTTGTGATATTTTTACGAAATTCACTTAGCGCAGTTATCGAGAATTTTATTTCGGGAAACCTGTGTCATCATCTTTCCTTCATATTATCCTTGAAAAACTCATTTTTGGGGGGTTGTGATGTGGTGCTGAAAATTCAACCGAATTTGTTGTCATCGGCAATGTGTGCCAAGTTTCAGCTCGATGAGTTGACGGGAAGTGGGTCAGTTAGACGTCTGAAGATTTTGCCCCACAAACACTCACACATAGCACACGTAGCCAGAAAGCAATGCACGAACAATAGCGAAGTTAATATAAAGGCTTTTTAAAAAATAAACATAAAAAAATAAAGTAAATAAATCAACAAACACAAGTTTCGATTCATTTATTCCAAATGCATTTATATTATATGACATAACTGTTTTTTTTTTAATATATATTTTTATGACATCTCTCTGTTTCTTGTCTAATTTCCATTTTTGTTTGTTTATCATGAACGGCCATTTAACATTTAACAAACGCTTAATTTTAATTAATGATGTTGTTGATTATAAAAAAAAATAAAAATTCGTGGTCCCTAAAAAAATTCTGCCTTGACCAATGGGGGGGGGGGGGGGCGTATGTCTCTTTGAATGAAAAAGAATTCTAAAAAATGACACTATCCTAAAACTCGAGGTTTCTTTGTGCCATAAATTTTATTATCAAAATATATTTTACTTAATCTTTAAATGATGTCACTCGTGTTTTGTATATTCTTGAACGTGTACCGGTACAAAAAAGACGGGAGAAGTAAATCTAAACATCCGGGCGTTTAGTTAGGCAAACCGGAATTTCCGTTAGGGTCTAGATGATTGCGCATGCGAATATTGAACACAGCAAAAATCACCTTGAAAATAAAAATAAATGTAGATACAAATAAATGTAGATAAAGTGTTTTAAAAACTGTTGCGCAATGTATACATTACTGCGTCTATCCAACATCTCCTGCACGCGAAGTATGATTAAATAGCAATTCATCTTCTCCTAAAAATAAAGTGCATTTTTGTACGCTTCGAAAATAATTGAATACATTACGCATCGGTCATGATGTTTTTATTTTCCGTATTGTGTTTAATGAAATGCGGCCAGCGAAGATTTGCTTCGCGATCAAAGTGACCCGTGCAGAAAATTCAGGGCTGTCGTTGGTGGGAAGAGCATTGAGCATAGTCTTTTTCTCCTAAAATACACCGCCTACGCGATGTAGCTTTCCATTCCACGTGTGATACCATCATACACCCTATCTTATTGGTCCCAGTTTCAATCTTTAAACGCATGGTAAGTCTTAGACATTAAATAAGACGATAACGTCCTGCGAATGCAATCTTGATTTGGTCGCTCAACAAATTGTTGAAGAATTGAGCATTGAGAGTATTATGCATCATTTTTTAACAACGCTATTCAGAAGATGGCGCCACGACGCGGCTCGAGGACGAAACAATTTTCAGGCGTTCAAATTCCTAAAGTGTACACACGCTGTTAAGTCTCATCGTATGATTTCTATTAATGTCTAACTTGTCGCTGTATACAACTTTAATTGACCCTCAGATCACTGTGTCTCCCTGAGTCGGGTACTGCGCCCCCACTGAGGCATACGCCGTAAGGGGCTACCACAGCTCGCTCTTTGGTATAGCAAAGTCGTTTAGAATTGCTTGATTTCCACCAACTCTGTCGAATTCCCACCCGATCATGTCTGTCATGATGTCAGTGGAGATATTATTTCTCACTTTTTCTTCATCTTCGTCAAAATGCTTACCTGTCTGAAAATTTAATTAAAGCAAATAATACTTCTATCTCCGAAAATAACGTCAGACGTTACACGCGTATTATATTTCTCACGACGCACAGAAGCATAAATACGTATGCCGATATATAGGACGGTCAGAGTGTGATATAATAGCAGCGACTGCCTCTTACCAGTATTGGGATTCAAATAATTTAACATACGGTTCGCTGCCCCCAAACGACCGTTTTAATTATTTAAAAAAAAAAACACCTTTCAGAAGCGTGATTATTATTTCATTAAGGTAATACGTAATTAAGAATAATGAAGGATAATCCGCAATGGGCGGCCTCTTTTTTCTTTATATGGGGGGGGGGGGGGGGGAAGGGCATTTTGGGCGCAAAAGACGCAAAGCGTGATTTATTTTAATATCAATTACTACCCATTATTATAAGGTATTGGAAATCTAATGTAGTCCTTTATTCTGAACCAGTTAAAATCACGGTTGGTTCGTACTCGGTGACATTAAAATTCGGGTTCGGTTCTTATTCGGTCGTCATGGTAATAAGGTGGAGAGACTGACAGTAACAAACAAGAAGTGATCAAACATGATTACGAAAGACCACTTCAATATTTTTTTGACATTTAATTTCTATCTTGAAAAGCAAGCCATGCGTGACAGGTGAGATGACACGTTTGAAGAAAGGGTTTTGTGGAGGGGCGGGAAGTTGAAAATAAACCTTTTTACTTTTAGCCTCAGAAATGATTAGAGCGCCATAAACAGTTTCCAGACAGCTCACCACAGCTTCTTTGATTGCTTTGGTTATCCGTCCCTGATTCTAATATAAAGGGAGAAAAGCCTGCAGTGGGGCGTGAAAACCCGGAAGTAACCGTTCAGTGTATTGACCTTGTCAGCGTGCATTACTAACAATAGGCGCATACGCATATGAAACTATAGTTAGTCTACACCAGCGGTTCTCGACCCGGGGGGGGGGGGCGAACGACCCTTATACAGGGGTCGCCTAAGACCAACGGAAAACACATATATATCCATCCATCCATCCATCCATCCATCCACCCATCCATCCACCCACCCACCCACCAACCCATCCATCCATCCATCCATCCATCCATCCATCCATCTATCTATCTATTTATCTATCTATCTAGCTATCTAGCTATCAATCAAAATGGATCCAGACACGCAGCGCCGCCATTCGCACCCGGGTACCATTAGACTCGATGTTATTCGGATGACATTTGTTGAAGTTTATTTAATTAAAATGAAGAAGTAGGCAGAAGGTTTACAAACATATAGCCCATTCAATTATATACCTCATTTTGTCTTACAAACCCAACAATAAGAATTTAAATAGTTTTTTAGTCCTAACCTCTCACTTCTGGTACTCGGGTGCGAATAGTCGCTTAAAAATTAAGTTAAAATTCCAAAGAAAATACAACTGAACTAAAAATTTAGATAAATAACACTTTGTTTCGCAAGTATGTAAAAAAACAACCTATTTATTCTTTTTTAAAACTCAGTAAGATTAATCCGCCGGATAATTAATCTGAAAAAAAAAGTAATATTAAGTCTCTTTGATAATTGTTCAATATTTTAAAACAAATTGAACAATTAAATAAATAAATAATATCATACTTCATCACCTAAAGGTTTTAATAATAAAAAGGAAAATTAATTTTAACCAGTCGCCTTCTTTCGCACATCTAGTAGTGAGTTGTCACTTCCTTTTACCCCAGAACTCCTTCTTTTCTATGCAGGCTCCGAAGAAGGAGGTTGGTATGAAATTAAAGTGCTTTTAATATTCAGATTAAGAATATTTTCAGTGTTTTCCACCCTAAGTAAATTTACTTACGGTGACTTTTTCGTCTGCTTTATATATTTGTATTCTTTAAAATGAAGATTTGGGTATTACATGTATGTGGCCTAGTTTAATTGTAATTTAGCCACCACGTGGACGTCTTAGGACTGCTTAGTTTGGTAATATCGCCCATTTGCGGCTCGGAATTATTTAAGAAATATTTAAATTAGTAGAGCTTTATTTATATTTGGAATACATTTAACTGAGTAATGTCACAATTTCTGCCCTAAGAATTGAATTGGTACAACGTCGTAAAAACAGAATAATTGTTTAATTAGCCCTTCAAACCGGAACAACTGGATTTTTCCTGGCCGGTTAGGATTAAGGTGTCCAATGGTGACCCTTGCACAGATTGTCTGAATTTACAGACTTTTTCTATTCCAAACAGTTTTTGACTAACATACCGATACACTTTCCCAGCCAATATATTATCTTGCTAATAAATGGATGTTTTTTTAAATTATTTTCAGTTAACCCTTTAAGATGCCTGGTAGTGTACCCACGCTTCACAGTAAGACTTACACAACTCCTCGTCGTCCTTTTGAAAAGGAACGACTTGATCAGGAGTTAAAACTTATTGGCGAGTATGGTCTTCGCAACAAACGAGAGGTGTGGAGGGTAAAATATACTTTGGGAAAGATAAGAAAAGCTGCAAGAGATCTTCTGACACTTGACGAAAAGGACCAAAAGCGACTTTTCGAGGGTATGTTGTTTTGCAGGCTATTTTAAAACGATCAAGTACCAGTGTAAAAAGCCTTACCCAGGATTTCAGACATAGCCTTTTTAGGGTACCCGGTATAGCAGAAATTACTTATAATACAATTTGTGTCCACTGTATTTATGCTATTAAGCATGTAGTGTTGACATGCAGGTTTGGTTTAATTCTTAAAGAAAATTATATAATACTTCTGCCAGTGAAATCAGAGTTCTAATGTCCCTTTTTTTCTATTTCTGATTATCCTTTCAGGTAATGCTCTCCTCCGCCGACTTGTCCGCATTGGTGTGCTTGATGAGAGCAAAATGAAGCTCGATTACGTTTTGGGTTTGAGACTGGAGGACTTTTTGGAAAGACGTCTTCAGACTCAGGTTTTCAAGTTGGGCCTTGCCAAGAGCATCCATCATGCTCGTGTCCTGATCAGACAGAGACATATCAGGTGAGTTGCCTTGACAACAGATTAATACCTTTCTGACTGACCTATGACTATTTTTTATAAATTTAGGAAGCTTCTAATCTAGATCAAGATGGTGGCATTTTTGTGGTCAAAATGAACATCAGAAATGTTTAACTTCATGCTCAAAATATTTTGTTCACATTGCAGATGGTTTCATTTATGGGTGCACTGTATTTGAGTTTTGGCTATCACTGCTAAACTGGAGAGCAGCTCGACATTTTGAGCATGGGTTGCTTAATGATGGTTATACATTGATAGGCCACTGAGGTTTATAATAGCCTTATGTCTATCAGTAGAGTTATACTGTTCATAGCAGGTAATCTAATGTTCAGAGTGTTGTATGCTGTTCATCTTAGTTTGCTATACTTTTTTGTTTTGGAGTCTGGGTGTTATTCCTCTATCATTTTTATGTATATACATTTCCCTCCTTTTGCAGAGTACGCAAACAAGTGGTTAATATTCCTAGCTATGTTGTGCGCTTGGACTCACAAAAGCACATCGACTTTTCTCTGAAATCACCATATGGTGGTGGTCGTCCTGGTAATTGTTTTTTTTTTTAAATAGTAAAGTTAATTTTTTTTTTTTTTTAAACATTCTTTAGCTCCCTAGTAATTGTATGGTCTAGGTACTTAAGTAAATCTAGGGTCACTTCTAGCAAATTTGTAAATTGGGGCTATGCAATGGAATTTTGAGTTTTTTTTGTTGTCATTTTCATAATACAGTAGTTCTTTCGGTCCATAATCATTACGGTCTGAAAATCAATTTCGTAACTGAGTTGCTTCCCTTTTCTCGGGAAAATAAATTAAGTACGGAAGTAGCACTGCCAGAGGAAATTAGTATAATAAAACTTGATTTTTTTAATTTTTTGGGGGGATTTTTTTTTTTTTCTAGAAGTACTGTACCTATATTGTAAATTAAAAAAAATATTTATATCATTTCAATTTTTCATTCCCTAGGCCGTGTAAAGAGGAAGAATGCCAAAAAGGGACAGTCCACTGGTGCTGCAGAAGATGAAGATGCAGAAGACTAAGCAGTTTTTCATTTACTGTTTTGAAGTTTAATAAACTTAATGTCTCAGAATCTGGCTTTTTTTCATTTTGTATGTGATTGCGAATTAACGGCTCAGAATTAGCCTGCTCAATTGATTTTTGCAGAAAATACAGGTTCTTAAAACCCAGTACTTAAGCTTAAAAGAAAATTTGGTCCTATCTAACTGCATTCAAAATCATTTGTTGCAGACATGAGCTTTAGATGTGCCATTACATTCATGGTGAATGTTTCTAAAATTGTTAAAAATCCATTTAAAAAAAATTCTTTAATTCTGTACTGAAGAATTAAAAATTTTCTTCACTTGCAAATTCATAGTAGTAGTGATGTAGCACTGCTAGTATAATTTCTGTTGAGACAGTTACATGTACGGTACATCGAAGTTGGGGTGGTGACGATATGAAAATATTAGCAGTTCGAAATTGGCCAGGGTATTCCATATACTTAGTTAATTTTACTTTTAGTAGGACTGTCAATGTCAACAATTGGAAAACACTTGCCCAGGTACCCAACAAAGCAGACAAGTTCACCAGCAATTATATTACTATTAATAAATTACCATAGTGATGGCACATTAGTGTAATTAGCCAGTCAGTTTTATTATATAACTATTAGTTTCTACATTAATTTCGATGAATTCTACATCGATCTGTTGGATCATTTAGTTATCTAAATTTGATACAATGATAGTATTTCAATATACAATGAGTTTAGAAAGACTTGCAGATCTTTGACCTCTCATAACATTTTAACTGTAAAATGATAGTCCCATTATGCCATTACTGATTTTATTTTTTATAAATACTGGGTAATATTTAAAATTTCTTTCTCACAAGAACAGTAAGTTTTAGCCGATGAAGTTTCTTGAGGGTTCCACACCAGTGCTTGTATTTAATAATCTTATTATATTTATAGTTGGCATGGGTTTAGGTCTTTGTTTCCACATGTCATGCTAAAATTTAATAATGGTACCAGTATTTACAGGGACGGTACCAGTATTTACAGTTACAATTTTTTGTATGGGGACAACACTAACTTATCAAGAAACCTTTCTCAATTTCTAGGTAGCAATAATCATGGTTTTGGGGCAGGGCTGTAGCAATAGCATGAAAAAGATATGCCCAGGACAAAGTCTGAATTTCGGCGCCCTCTTCACTTACAAACTAAACATTAATTTTATTATAACTATTACAATACAATTCTTGTGTTCAAAGGTAACTTCCTACTCCTACATTCTTAAATGACTCATTCTGTGTAATTAAGGCCTATTACTATTAAAACATACTGGTACACTGATGAAGGTAGAAGTTTTGAAACTTTAAAAAATCACACCATTGCCATTCACTGACATGTTTATTTCCTTTTTACTTGGCATTCCATGAGCAGATATAAAAAATTGTGCAGCTTCTACTTCTATAAGTGACAAATTAAATTATTTAAATTAAATTTAAAAAAAAGAAACTAATGGCTCTTGAGCAGGCAGTATCATCTCTGATTCTATTATACTATTATTTAATTAAAATCAATGAGATTTTCATTCTAATGCTTTTTTGTCTGGTACAATAAATCTGGGGAGAAATATTGAAAAATGTATCATTTAATACAGCAAAAACTAGATTTATTGGAATGGGGGGGCTTTATGGACAGACTTTATTAATAAATACTATTTATATTATATCATAATTTTGAAATGTTACATATTAAAATTTTTAAATTTAGGATTCTCAATAATCATTTAGAGTTTAAATTTAAAGTTTAATATGTTATTACCTGGTACTTATTAAATTATATATTGAAATACCGGTACCTAAAATAAGTATAAAGCAAACTTATTAACAATTATTTATTTTTAAAAATTTAATTATATTTATACATACCGGTATTACAATGATAGAGGTACTGGGGTAATTGACAATTAGGCTAATTTAACAATTGTATGTGAATTTTAAATTATAATTATACCTAGATAAAATTGAATTATTCTTTGGATTAAGTTAAAGAGAACAAGAACATACCTATTTTTCGCGTCCTCTTGGAAAAGTGTTTCTTTCTTGTAATATTCAAAGAGTAGATTTTTGTCCATTAGATGCTTGTTACGTACAAGAAATTCATCAAATGTTTCCTTTGCATTGACACTGGATACAATGGCATTTGACACAAGGTGAATGAAAAACATAGTAATTGTCTCATGGTAACCACTTTTAATCTGGAAAATATTAAAATGATTTTTTTAGACATTTAAATTTATTACCGATAGTTCAAAATAATAATTTTTTTAAAAGTTACAAAACCCTTTTAACTTGATTTAACTATTAAACATTCAAAACATTAAAATTCTAACTATCTTCCTTAAAATTCAACTTTACTGGTGCTTTTTCAACAATGTACGGTTCCAATAGCATGAAGTATGGTAACCACTAAGTTTTCTTTGATACCGGTATTTAAAATTAATCTTTAATATTTTTCATCAGTCAATATCATTAAAAATGGCCAATGAGCTGTTAAAAACAGATGCAAATGGTTATTATACTTGTACTGAGCATTTGCTTCAAACTACAAATTCTTGCCTCCAGACTAAAGGAAAAGTATGTACCGGTATTCAGCCTTTAAAGAATATTACTATTACAATTAAATTTAAAAGAAGTTAGAAAGAGAGAAAGGATTTGCTGCAATTTTTTTTACCACAGACAAAAACTAAATAAAAGTTAATATTATTATTATCATCATTATTAAGCAATGACATAAGAAACCTCCTGAAGAGCATAGAAGCTTATTCTTCTGTTAAGAATAATAATTCCAAAGTAAATATGTGCTTTGGTATAAAATGAGCAAATCTTTTTTGAAGTGCACTTCTCTTTAAATAATTATGTTTCATGCTTTCTGGTAGCGTTCGTTGCTGCATTCATATGCTGACATCTGTGCAACGGTTGGGGAGCGATGTTGCTATTCTAACAAACAGCTCCTAGTAGAAGCCAGGGCAGCCTTGAAGCTTTCGACCGACGTTGAGTCCACAGCGGCATTGTCCAGGTGGTTCCAAGCAATTATTGTGCGTGGGAAGAATGATTGTTATACTGAACTGTGTTGCACCGAGGCACGATGAAGCATTTGCTGTTATTTCAGGTGTAATTGTTTATAGTGTTGTCAATGGTGAAATCACTGTTCAGTGAGCATTTGGCTCTGATCAATCGACCCGGTTTCTGTGGGGTGAGGTACGTGCCTGCCGGGATGACGGGCACCAGCCCCATGACCACTTTATATAAGAATATCAGGCGGAGCCCCTCTCGTCTGTCTTTAAGGGAGGGGATGTCAAATCTTTTTAATAGGCCAGTGGCGAAGCCAGAAGTGGTGGATTTGTAGTCATGTGCGATGAAGTGCACCACATTACGTTGGATTCGCTCCATCTTGTCCACGTCTTGCTTTAGGTGTGGGTCCCAGATGATCACACCATATTCTAGAGGTGGACGGACGAGTGCAAGATAGGCATTTCGTTTGCAGGAAGTTGGAAAAATTTAGCCATTTCTTGGAAGTTAAAAATTAGCTCAATATCTCAAAAACTAGTAGGCCTACTGATAGGAGAAAGCTGCTGGTGCAATTTTTTTAATCAGCAGGTCAAATATACCTAAAACAACTTTAACATTTGAGACAACAAATATTGTGTTGGCCATTAAAATTAATATGATTTTAGTTGTATTCCATGCTGCATTCTTGAAAAAATGGCATATTTTCAGTATCTCAAAAACTAGAGCTATTAGTATTACTTTAATTTGATGTGATTTTTGTAATCAGCTGGCCAAATATATCTGATGTACCAAATTTTGTGTTGGCCAGTGTAATCAATCAAATAATGATAGTTTTGTAATTTTTGAATGCTTTATCATTTTATTTGTTCAAATTTGAATTAATCATATTCTTCATCTCACAGTAAATTTTGGAATAATTGGTGGAAGTATCAGGAAAATCAAATGTCTATCACCAGCCTTTGACTTTAAACATTCAATTACCTTCATTGAATTTGCATTTAAATTTAACTAGATATGGGGCCATCCATAAATGGGTCACCCATCTGGGTTGGGTGGGTGTCACGATTTGTGATTATGGGAGCTTAAAGTGATTTATAGATGGACCTTATTATCCTTAATTTTTATTGGGCTTGGGCTTCATTAAATTTGAATCAAAAGTATGCTCAGGTTCAAGCGCAGTAATTGTTTGCTTAATGAATTGAAAGGACTTGGCAAGAGCATTGGTAACAGTTCTTATAATAGCTTTCATTGACAACAATCACAAAATTTGAGAATGCTGTATCAAAATATGTTGTTTCTGACACTTTCTTACTCCAGCACATGGCCGTTTACTCTTAGCTAGAAGACTATAGACCCAAAAAAGTTGACATTGGATAAAATGCAGTCGAGTCATGGCTCACAAAATTTCACCTATTGATTAGCACATTAATTTATTATTTTTGTCCAACCCCTGTACCACATGAAAGAAAAGATTATAAGCAAGATCTAACCTTATTATGGGATGAGATTACAAGAGAATATAAATATGTGTGCAATCTTTACTCAATCAAAAGCTGACATGTGGTGCTCTTTACCTGGGCACAAAGCTAAAGTGGTGGTTGATAAAACATTCTCACAATGTAATCAACAAGGAACAAAAGCCAACATGTTGGCTGGGCTTAGCGGTATTATTAGACTCAAATTGTTTGAAAGAATATAGTGTCCACTATATAACCTGCAAAAAAATCCCAACTTAATTTGCACGGAATCAAGGCTTCTTGGGTGGTATGTGTATGTCCGTAGGTGTCTTAGGCATATCTGAATGTATTAGTAGTGACTGCTGAAGCTCGCATAAATATGTTGTAAAACCATGCATTAACACAACCATTGCAATCCGATTTATGAACCCAATAGTGCCAAGTTTTCCCTGTATTTCTCATCCTTTGTTTTGATTTACGTGTGCATGCCGATTAAGATAATTGTGTAAGTATTACCGAAAGTAAGTGTTGTTATTATGTTATACCGGCAACTTAA